AGAAAAGGGACAAAATTAAATGACAGGCACACTTTTTAACAGAGACTATTTAATCTGAGGTGCTAATGTACTCTAATGTCACAAATTGGAAGGTTCACAAACTTTTCCTTTAGGACATATTGTAAAGAGATGGCATTTTCAGTGTAGCATATTCACAGAATAAATTGTCTACAAGTAAACGGTGGTGCCAACATATTATAAAAATCATCCTTACACTTACATAGTGCTTTTCTGCACACTTCACTCAAAGTGTTTTACAGTTAATGAAGGCTCCCCACCACCACAAACAAAGTGCAGCACCCACCTGGATGATGCGACAGCAGCCAAACTGCACCAGTACTCTCACCACACACCAGCTATCAGAGGGGAGGAGAACAGAGTGATGAAGCCAGTTCATAGATGGGGATTATTAGGAGGTCATGATTGGTAAAGGCCAGGGGGAAAGTTGGTCAGAACACAGGGTTTACACCTCTACTCTTCATGAGAAACGCCCTGGAATTTTTAATGACCATGGAGAGTCAGGACCTCGGTTTTATGTCTCATCTAAAGGACAGGGCCTTTTAGAGTATAGTGTCCCTCTCACTATACTGGGGTGTTAGGACCTACACAGACCGTAGGGTGGGTTATCCCTATGGGTCCCACTAAGACCTCTTCCAGCAGCAACCTTAGCTTTCCCAGGTCTGCCATCCAGGTACTGGCCAGGATCACACCTGCTGAGCTTTAGTGGGCTGCCAGCAGTGAGTCGCAGGGTGTTATAGATGGAGACATATATCTAATGTGAGTTGGCACAAAAGGAAGGTTGCTTATAACTGTAAAAAAACAAAAACATAAGTTAAGCTTTTAATAGTTATAATATGGAGATCTTTACCAGCATTTTATTGACTATTAAAATAATGTTTTCCTGTACTAAATTATAAGTCATACCTCTAAAAAGGATTTAGTCATCTGGCTACAGCGACCTCAAAATAGTCTATATATCTTATTAATTTAGAGCTAGTTAATTTTTTATGACTGTTCCAGCATCTACAGATTTGACAACATTCTTGAAAAAAATATATTGCCAGGTTTATACTTTATGAAAATTATAAAGTTAATAACAGAAAACACAATTAATTTAATCTTATGCACGGTTTCCCTTTTCTACATTTTCTTTCAAAGATGCAAGTTTCTAAATTATGAACAAGTTTCATTTGGAGGAAATGAAGTATGATTAACAATTGAAAAAGAAGCTTTCATTAAGAACACTTAGAAATGAACAATAAATACATATCGAAGAATGCCAAAATATAAAATGTGATCAACTTTGTGAGATTTTGTAAACATACTGTTGATCAAATACACTGCATTTAAATACTCTAAAAATGCATAATGTCATGTTGCAAAACGTTTGCTCAAAGCATATGATCGAAAAATGTGTCCTTAAAATTAAAGTGAATACTCTATATTTGCACTTCTCTGTATTATATAGAATATATTATGTGACTAAGCAAAATGTGATTAATACAACTCATATTTTGTTATTTTTATGTAGGCTTCAAGAAAAAAAGTCCTCTTGCAAAATTCAGTATCTGCTTACTGTGCTGTATGAGTTCAGGGGATGTAAACACCATGAACCATATAATAAGGGTTTAATAACTACAGTACACACAAACCATGATAAAATTCAGTGATTCCATCCATGCCTACTACACTCTGATAATAAACGCATCAAGCCGGAAAGTCATGGGTATAGACGTCACCAAGGAAACATGACACTGAGACAAGTCAACATTCAGCCCACTGGAAATGTCTTGCCATTGTTGAACTGTAGAAAGCAAAAGTACAATGTAGACAGGTTCTGGGATGTGGTAAAAAGAATTGGGCTGGATATACAAAACATTAGAGAAAGTTCATCTGTGTTAAAGTCAAGTTGTCTATATTTACCAGAGCAGCAGATAAGCAGACAGTTTTTATTAAACCTTCAGTTCTCCACTATAAAACTGGATGAAGGCCTCAAAATTGCCACTGGCAAGTTCACCCTTAAGTAGGAGTATGTATCACTGTATGAGATCCATGCTAACATTCTGTGCTATTAAACCACGCATCATGGTGAGGCAAACGTTTATTATTATAATGTGCCAAAATGTCCTCTTGTGCATACCGTAGGTAGGAGAGATTCACATATTAAATTATCTTCTGTGAATGCTGTTTTTCTAGTGCATTGTTATCCTTAGTTTTTGAGGATGGTCAATTATTTTATTTTTTTTATTTCAGGTTTACAATGTTATGCTAGGACTGTCATTTTTTTCTCTGATGACTATTTCATTTTAAGATACACATGCAAATGGTGCTTTTGACAATAACAACAACAGTAAGCACTCACACATTACATAAGTATCATTCCAATTACAAGTATTATTATTATTTTAAAACTGTAAATGTGAAGCTGTTCCCCATAATTGTTACAGAAAACAATATGCATTTTGAGAGCTCAAAAGTAAGTCTTGCAGGTGCACATTATATTAAGAACAACATCATTTCTTTTTCAGGACATAAGTAACAAATGTAGTGCTGTGCTCATCTAATTATAAGCACTTAGTCATACTGACATCATTTATGAGTGTAATGCAAGTGAATATGTCAGCTTTGTTGCCAAATCTCACTTTTTTCCATTTTTGACATTTAATTTTAAGAATAATAATCGTACATTTCAACATTTGCAAAGAACTATTACAGCTTACTTTAGATTTAGGATTTTTGTCGAATCCTGTCGTGTGAAATATGCATAACACAACCAAGTGAATTAATTAGTACTTCCAACAGCCTCATTTCACAGGATGACCATTAACGGAATAGATTTCTTGTAGACTGCAAGAAGTACGCATTTGCTGTCTAAGCAATTTGATAGCTTTTCCATCCTTTTGTTTTAAAAATACTGCATCTGAATGTGTTGAAGGTGCATTGAGGTCACCAATTTTCTTGATGAGTTTTGACTTCAGGTTATGAGTACTGATACAGTAGGTGTCTGTTTTTAAAATGTACTACATTTCACTTTCTACCCTCTGTGAAGAGGTTACATTTTCACTATTTCAAAACAACAAGCATCTCAATTTTCAACTTTATACTGTAATTACTTTAAATGTAATACAACACAAATGTAAATTAAAATATATTGACAAGCAGGTCTGTAATCGAATTAGGTCAGCCAGCTCTGTATAATAAAGGCCAGCATGCTTTAGAATACTTTTGTACTTGCTAAAACACATCTTATTAAACAGCTTGTGTGAACTCAGTTAACCTTTACCCTATACTACTGTTGCTCATTAGTATGAAATAATTTTCTATTAACTTCAAAAAGACAATAAGCAACACATTACATTAAATGTATTATTTTATAGCCTTGATTCAAATAAAATGCATCAATACTTCTGCCTTTATATTATATATACATTCTTATATACTTTATACATACAGTACTATTTGTATGTGAAAGTGCTTTCAGTATTCCTTAGTTGTAATCAAGTGTCAGTTTGAATCAGTTATGGTGGTTGAATTTATGGCAGAGTTTTCTTGTTACTCCAGAGGGGAGGAGGGGACAGGACAGCACAATCTACTGTAGGATTCAATTAATTCCATTCAATTCATGTGAAAATGCCTCACCATTACTTTAGTTACATCAAACTGAGGCATCAAAGCATTAGAGAACAGTTGGAACTGGAAAGTATTTCAGAATTATCTACATATCAGTCCTAATTCCCCATCTTCCTGGCAAAAAAAATCACAAACCATTTTTAAATAAATACATTTTATCAATATTGCAATTAGGGCTTAAAGGCAGATGGAATGAACATTTTAAAACCAATATGTCAGAAACAATGAGCCACATTAAGATGCAT